GTGTGCCATAATTATAAGAGATTAGAGTATACTAAACTTTACACATTTTATAGGCTATACTAACAAGATGTTTAGGTGGTTCATTTAACTATTATACGTGATGTACATTTTTTTGGGGGGGGGGGTATTAATGAAAGTGTTTCAAAACGCGACATTAATTTCTTGACAACCTAATGTCTGGGAGTTTTTATTCCATGTTTGATTTAAACTAGTTCTTTACAGTATGTCCTTTTATAAGTTTCTTTATATACTTTCTGTATACTTTCTTGTAATTTACTTCCTCCATTATGTCTAACTAGCTGTCTGATTTTGTAGATATGTTTCCTTTGCTGTAAGTGTTCTATTTATTCTATACATAAAATTTCTAGAATTTGCATTTCTATGGTAAGTTTTACCTACTTTTTGGGTATCACTGTACCTGACTACCACACTAGTTGGGCTCTGACATCCACATGGGGAAAAAAATGCAGCCAATAATATGAAGATATGCCTGCAAGTTATTCTGAGTGATAAGCAAAGTTAATTGAAGTGTAGATAAATAATAACAATAATAAATTGGTGTTAAATAAGTAATATCATGTTGTTAATCCTTACTCTAGTGAATTAAGAATGAACTTGCAAATTTTTAATTAAGTGTAATTTTTATCTCAGATTCAATTATGCATTTTAACAAAGAATTAGTATTTTCTGTAAATATTTTTTATAACACACATGTTCCATACTTTCCCCCCCACATATTTCAGTAGTGTCATTGAGCATAACCACCCCACAATATGTACACACTTTCAAAGAGGAATAATAGATGATCAGAAAAGTACCTTTCAGATGTTTTCTGATAAACTGATGATCCAATTTTGACAAGATATATGTATGTAGCATAGAATACTGAAAACTGCCCTATTACGTAAGTAATGAAATCAGTATGTATCATAGTTCTCTTCACTGAAATTTGATGGATGATGTAATGCCATGTATTAGCAAATGATTCCAATAACTGTTTACATAAGTAATATGTTATGAGACTAGATCTCTAGGCCTACATCTAAATCTTAGGTTTTAACATTTCATTGAAAATTTTAATTTCATTTTAAGAATGAATATTAAGTTAATAATATTTAGAAATTGCTTAATTTTTAAAATATAACAGCCTGTAATCATGTTCTTATACCAGTAAATGTATAAAGTATGCACCTATCTTACTTCAGCAAAAAATTGTGTAAAATACTGGCAAGATTTGCAGTGTTTGTAAATTAGGCTTAAATGGATTCACTGTGCTACATAAAATTTTCATTTGCAAAGTTATGCAGCATAAATGACTTTTCACCTCTTCATCTGTTAGTAACTGAAATCTTACACCATATGCCCACTTTTTTTGCACATTTGAGTTTAACTGAATTTGTATGTGTTCATTGTCTGCAACAAGTTCGTAGTCTGCAAAATTCTGCTTCAAAATCATGCATGTTTTCAAGTGCAAAATGCTTCATACCAAGCAATGCACTGTTGCCCAATCACAGCAAAGGATTCATGCTAAAGAGTAGAATAATTCTTATTGACCCTCTAGTAATGAGTCATTGGTAAGCCTAAATGCTTATAATGCTACAAACCACATTTCAATACCTGCAGTGGGAACAGATAGCCCAAACAATGAACTGAATGTTTAACTGGCTGTCTTGCTAACAACAGTTTTTCTGTTAGATATCTTACTTGCTAGAATTATACTGAGTTTTTTTGTTTTTTTTACCATTTCACAAATAATAAATATGTTTGCTTTATCACTAGCAACACAACAAAACCTTACTGTCTGCCTAGCACCAAACTGAACATTCTTTTGATTTCAGTGTCTCTACAGTAACTGAAAGTTCTATTAATATCCTTGCTAACGATGAATGGATTTTTTTATGGACAGTTTGTTGAAAATGGAATTAAGTATGACTTTGTACTTGAATCAAATTCACCATGTTCACTATTTTGAAACCACCAATATCATTTTGTTAAATGAAACTTTGCATTGCTCTTTTTTGGTACTTGAAGCAATGTTCTGCTGTCGTTTTTAGAACTGAATTCAATTTGCATACATCTATAATTGGAATGAGCATTCTGTTATTATGTCGATTGTTTTTTAAAAAAAAGTTTGGTATAAGGTGCTAAATATCATACTGGAACCAGACCCTGCCTCCCAATGGCATAGTTGTATGTCTGCAGACTTATAACACTAAAAACCAAGTTTTTATATCTGGTGGGCACAGTACAGATAGCCCATGGTGTAGCTTTTGTGTTTAACTACAATCAAACCAAATATTATGTTCTCATTGTCTCTCTATCTAGCAAAACTCAAGGTGTTTTGAAAACCATAGTTTAAAATCAAACTAAAGGTATCTGACTGTCTCTCTGAAACCACTTCTTTCTGTTCTTCATATTGTCTTGTTATAGCCAACACATTGCATTCTGCTCATTATTTCATTGAATCCAACTTTAATGTGGTCTGCTGATTTTTAACTGAATGCAAGGTGTTTTGTCTATGTTGTCTGACTAGATTGTGACTTAAGATTTTCTGTTATTTCATTAGATCCAAACTCAAGACATTTTGAGTTCAATCTCGTATAACCAAACTAATAGTGTTTTTCCAACTGTTTTCTTGTGATTACTTAATCAGAAACAAACATAAATGTTTCAGCTGACTGTCTTATTAAGATTGTACTCAAGATTTTGTTTTTTTTTACTCTCTTGTAGAACAAACAATTTTGGTTATTATTTAATAAGTGAACTAAGGAATTTTCATACTTCTTAAAACAAAACATGACAAATGTTTGTTTTTTAAACTTAGAATTTTATTTTCATTGCTTGTAGATGGGTAATTTTTTGCTGAAGTTTTTCAAATTTTTTTTGTTTTGTTTTAAATTTCTTTATTTACACTGTCTTATCTTTTCACCCATCCCCAGGATCATGAAATTTCCAATACTTACCAGATGAGTTCTAATGCTAGGTGTATGGTGTGTCAAAAACCAGCTAAATATTGTTGTAAAGGATGCCATAAAGGATCATACTATGGAGAGAGTGTGCTGTAAGTCAAATGCCTGTGCTACTTTTAATACATATTGTTTTTAATATAAATGTTTTGTCTTTGTGTTTATTAACAAAATATCATGATGTCTTTACCTGTAGAAGTATACACAGTATACAGCCTTTCATTTCAGTTTTGGAAAAAGCAGGGCCCAATAGCATTGTAGAAGCAGCAAAGATTTATTAGTCACTGTGAGGTAGTTCACTAACAGCTTTGTTTGTAACTATTTTAAATTGTTTATTGCCTGGTTGTCCAGGCTGTACACTCTATGGATGCACTTAAGGTCTTAAAAAGTAGTATGTGTAGTCTACAAGTTTGTTATGAGTTGTTAATGTGCATTGTTAGTTTTTCTTAGGTTATATGGCTGTTTCATTTTACAATATACAAATTAAACTTTTTCTGCAAAAGTTAGAAATCAATTTACTAAAGCTGTGATAATTTGAGTTTAATCATAGACACTGCTGTAAATTTGTACTTAAAATGTGTTTGTTTGAGTGCATCTTGAGTTGGTTTTATTATCTTTGTTGTGGTGGTTCCTGCATTTACAAAGTGTGCATATCTTAGATGTTGAGATCTATAAGTTGTAATTATTTTTGGTTTATTTAGTCATAAGTTATCTTAATAGATAGTAATAATAATCTCACACTTTTCAGGTTGATTTATAATTAGGGATGGGGCAAATGGCAGTTTTGGTTGCATATCAGATTTTGGATATCTGCTCTTGACCCCTGATCAGATTAGGATATTTTTGGATCAGATAGTAGATGTGGTCAACTTGCCATACATTTTGAAAATGTGCTGCTAGCATGAAGTACCACCTTATTATAGTTTAATATTGAACTAGTTACTTTGACATTATTTTTTGAAACTTAATAAGGATGTACATGTGTACGACTAGTTCAAAAAGAGTGAATAAGTATTGCAGGCCCTTAAAAGGAATGAAGCATGTGTTGGAATGAGTTGGTGCTTTACACTTACAGTCTCCCTTTTACAACTGTTGTTTGGATTATGATTGCTACTGCTATCATTGCTGTTATCATTATCACCAGTGGCATACAGTGGTAATACCATAGGTGGATGTGATGTGTATTTAAACTGTATTATGACTACCAAGGATACTCACTCTTCAACACTGAGGAAAATTCAACTGTGTTTAGAAGCTAATAGAAAGCATTAGTGGACTAGATGATTCCATGCCTATTATGTGTGGTGTATATGCAAGTAGTATCATACTTGTGTAATGTGATATATTGATGGAAATGTTATCTGATTATCTATTGCATTTCAAAATTAATATTGGGTTGGATAATTCTCCCATCCCTATTCATAATTCAGGCAAAATTGTTGGAACATTGCAAAATCTGCAGAATATGTCGAGTATGATCTTTAAAACAAAAATGTCTATGACAGAGATACTATGATGTATTATTTGGCCGTTTGTCTTCACTTTTTCAGTACTTGCAGAAGGATATGTTTTGAGAATGTCAGTGTAAACTTGCAGTGTGTACAAAACCAGTTTTGCTATGTGGCGAGAATTATGTAAACAGCTACTGCTTTTGCTAGGAAGCACCCTGACAGATGAATTAAAATATCCATGATAATCAGATTAGTGAAACTCTTCTTTCAGACCAGAAGCATAACAGTTGAAATTATTCAACAATCCTCTGCATTTTAGAATGTCTATCCTAGACATCTGTTTCTTTGCATATAATTTTTCTTGTATTTTTCAGTTTTTATGACTCTTCAACAAGGTTACAGAGATTATGAATCATCCTATATACATAAACTCTGTAGTCCTTCGGTTGATGACAGAAATTCTCAAGATGTGTTTGCCATTAAAAAAAAAAAAAAGTCCCTCAGTGGGACAGCAGTAAGTCTTTGGATTTACAACACTAAAATCAGGGGTTCGATTTCCCTTGGTGGACACGGCAGATAGCTTGATGTGGCTTTGCAAACACACACACACACACACAAACACAAAGCCATAAAATAAAAAAAATGTTGAGGTAACATTATTATAATACTTTTTGCTCAAAAAATTTTTTTTTATACAATTAATACATTTATGAGATGAAGTAAAACATGAATTATTGGAAAATTATTATGTAGTTCAGTTAACCTTGCCGTTTCTCTGAAAAATAGATTTGATAATTAGATATTGGGTGTAGTTTGTTTTGTTTTTTTCAACTTATGAATTTATAAGTGGCAAAAATATGAGTATACCTGTAGTGTGATACTTCATATTTTGGTTTCCGAAAGTTTACTGGATTATGATACATTCCAAGAAGTGTTCAAAGGATTAGTGAACTGCAAAAGAGATAATTGCTCAAACAATGCTATCATTGTATGTCCTGACATCTTTGAATAAAGAACATAGTGGATTTTGCAGCAACAAAACTAGTATAATCGAAATCTATGTACAAGAAATGGAAGTGATGAACAACTTAACCTGCTGATGGTTAATACTTGAAAGGAAGTATATTTTTTCATTGTGTATATATATAAACAAGTGTTTGTAGTTCCAGTCACTGAACTTTGTTAGTTTTTCAGATTGTTAAAGAGCTTGGCATGTTTATGTACTTTGATATTGCACTGTTTATGTACTTTTAAAAGTTTCATGACAATTTTTGGGCTAATTGCATTTTGTAGTTCTTGATGCTATATTGACTGAAGTACTAGAATTTTTTATGCCCTTTTGTAGATTGGTAGCAGTATTCACCACTCAAGACGTAGTGGATATGCCATAATCCAATCATATTTAGTGGCTTATTCGTAAAGGAGTTTTTCTGTACAAAAAATTTAATTTCTTCAAAACTGTGCAAGAGACTGAAAATTTCAGTCTTTTGAGATAAGTTGTACATCTAGTCTGTTTTCTTTATGTCCATTAACATGGTTGGTACGATAAATTTGACTGAGGTTTCATATCTGTATGTGTATAATCTTACCTCAAATTGTCCATCAAGTGTACAGAAAAAGGTTTTGTGCCAAGCGTTGCTACAATTGAGATTTTTAACAAGATTTGTTTTTCTTTTTTTACAGTTCATTCCTCTATTGGTGTTTTTTTTAAATGAGGCAATTGTGCAAATTTATTTCAACTGATTAAACATTTAGAAAAGTTAAACAACTCAAAAAGTAATTTTAAAGTGGAAAGCCTTTGCTATTCCTATATCAGCTATGTGTATGTGTATCAAAATGTATATACATCTTAAATATTTCATTGTGACAAAGAGTTATGTCTGCATTTGTAAATATGTTAAACTTGTGTGTTATTGGATGGCATTTTTAATGTGAAAACAAACTGATTTGATGTGATGTACCAAGGTCAAGTGGTCAAGTCCATAGGAATATGGGACTCGTAACTTTGAACTCTTGTTTGTTGTGATTGACCTATAGAAAACCATGTGCCTTAATGAAAATACCCAATTTAATGTTGGCTGTTGTATTCTGTCATAATGAAGGATGAATTTGCTACTTGAGGCATTACCATTGACAAGAATACAAAAATCCCTACTTTTAAACTTTATTGTGAAACATCTTGAATGATTTCTACAAAAGTTAAAAGAATGGATACAAAATTTAAGGATTTGACTGTTGTTTATATGTAAACATTTTGAACTGTTACACCCCCCCCCCCAAAAAAAAAAATGTTCTGAGAATGTATAAAAAATTTATCTCAAATGACAAAATACCATGCAATATTTTTCATATATGTTGTCAAATGTAGCATTAACTTAGTCATAATCACTTGTTAATAAAATTTTACTTTTATATAAACATAATTTTAATGTTAAATTTATTGGAGTCTTGATATTGCTTAAGAGCAAACAGTATTAATAAAGATGTACCATTGCTTGTTCAACATTTTTGAATGAAATAAAATATTATGGAAAAATATTTGATTTTAGTTAGTGAATTATGGTTTTAGATTATGCTCTCATGAAGAATATGTTAAATATAATAGTAGATAAAAGATGTACATCATGTTTTAAGTTTTAAAATCTCAATGACATCTAAGGTTATTTTTAAGCTAGTAATTTGCAAATATTATATCATCTAGGTAAGTCACATTAACAAAAATAACATAACATCTTGGGAGAACATTCGAAGGGAACCCATTCCAAAGGCCAAACACCCTGTTAGTAAAATAAAACTGTCTTAGCTGAAGATGACTCCTACTGTGCCAAAATTTATATTTGTGTTCC